GGTACAGGATGCAGGACTGAGAGGGGGGAGGATTAGAAAGGACTTTCTTTTCTGGATGAAGTCCATTTCTTCATCATTTTCAGACTCATGATGGTGACAAACTCAGATGCCTGTTATGTGAGAATAGGACTATAGCGCCGATGGGACAGTGATTTGCAGGTCATCGAGCTGGGAACAGCAAACTTTTAAAGCAAGAAGCTTTAAAAGAGAACCAGGATGGAAAAGAAAACCTTTGAATACTGTAAAATTTAATTTGTGTGCTGGGGATGTAAAAGCCCAACCAGGGACAAGTGTTGGAAACTGGCAGTGGCTATAAACTCTCTGCAACATCATCAGTTTCATGCTCTGCACTGGAACTGTGTTAAACTCTCTCATCCCTCTATTATGTCATAAAAATGTAATAAATTAACCCCATAAAGCCCAAACCATGAAATAATTGTCAGATTTTCTTTTTCATTTTTCAAACTGGAGTCTTTATTGAACCATGTGACCATTTTTTTTAAAGGAACTAAATAATAATTTGCATATATGAGTTTTAATTTAAATCATTTTTGCTATATTTGCTGTTCAGTTTGTTCATGTTCACACTGATGATAAAGAGATCTTATCAAATGTGTTGTATTTGGCATTATTTCTTTATTTCTCTGTTTGCAAATTTGCATCATCCTCAGAATATCATTGTCATGGTTCTGGCTTACTTTGATCCAGCTTTCTTAGGTCTGTCATGTTTCCACGTCTTTGTGTCTAGTGTGCATCTTTGTTAATTGTCTATTGTTTCCTGTTTTATTTTGACAGTTCTGCCCTATGTTCAGCCTCTGTTCCCCGTCTCGTTTGTGTCATTAGTACCAGCTGTGTTTCCCTTCTGTCTCCAGTTTCCTGATTACTCCGTCATGTATTTTAGTCCTGTATTGTCCCCTGCTTGTTGTCCCTCTTCCATGGCTGTGTGTCTCTTTGTGTGCCTCTCTGTGTGTTTAGTTCATATTTTCCCCGTGTAGTTTGTTGTAGTTTTCCCTGCCAAAAATAAACATGTTTTTGAGTTTACATTTCCGACTCCGTGAAGTCTGCTTATGGTTCCTTTTCCTGCCTGCACACAGCTGCTTCATGACAGACATTCCCAACATGAGTAATCAAAAAATAACATCAGACTTTGTGGATGACTATCAATCACTATGTGATGTTAAAGCTGGGTGACACTTAAAATACCAGACTATACACCCAGCTGACGAACTAGTGCCGCCTTAATCTTTCTGCATAATCCTGGCTTGCTTTTACACTAAATAGTGAATTTTGACAAGGCAGTACTG